AGCTGCCGCGGCCGACACGCCCCGCCCCGCAGGGGTATGACCTTTGTGTTTCATTTTTCGTGGCTGCCGCGTGCTTACCCGCTAACAACAGGTGATTTCTGTGTCAACGCTCGCGGGACTTGTAATCAATGTGGCGAATAGCTACTACTTGTCGCCGGAGGCATTTCCCCCCCCCCCCTCCCTCTCTATCCCTCGCAGTGCCAGTCACCTCGGCGGCCGCCGCCGCCGCTGCATCCAGCGGGGGATATGGAATGGACATATCGCGGTCACCGGACGGACGAGAGAGAAACTGGTGGCGATAGTTTGGTGACTCGTCTCGCCGCTCGAGTTGGCCGGTGTATCTCTTTCCGCAATGTGTATAATTACGCGCCTCGATACGGAGGTCGACGACACCTTCCCTCTCGTTTGTGACGAAACACAATGGAAAGGAAAAGCCTTTCTTAAAAAAAAAAAAAAAATAGTTTGGGTGGGTAGAAAAAAAAAGTCATAACTACATTGAAATAGAAACATCTTTTTTTTCTTCGAGCATCGAATTTAGGGCGCTCGTTTTGTTCCTTCCCACTGGCGATCCGGGCGTCTTTGTGATTATTTGGAACTTCCCCCTCGAACAAAAGAAACAAACCGCCGACGCCGCCGAGGCGTCGCCAATGCTGCCCTCTGCAAGCCGGTGGCCCAACTAAAAAGCAGTAGTAGGTCTCCCCCTTTTCAACATCAGCCCCATCACTGTTGTTGCCGAGTTCAAGCCCTCGACGGTGTTGTCAGCACTTCGAAAGTATGTCCGCGTTAAGTTCAATTACTATTTCTCGGTTTTTGTGCTATGTGTCTCCTCTTTTGATATTTCTATATCTCGCTCTTGTTCTACATCGGGCATCATAACCTCGGTGTTGTATGTTTATTGTATGTCAACAGTATCACTATTTTCATTTACTTTTTACACAACTATCTGGATTTATATTCACATGACAGCAGTTAGTTGAAGATGAGATTCAGACACATTAAAACGCACTACTCTTCTGAAATTAGATTTTAATTTTAATATTTTTTTTGTAGTACACACAATGGGGAAATTCGGCTCCCCGTCCCATTCTCCCAGATGGGTTTTGCTTAGTGCCAGGATTTCAGCACTTCAGCTTCCTTCATCGGTTAAATTGCCCCAGCGATATTACTCAGGGCGAGCGCAATCCAAAGAATCTAGTGCTCTCGCAGAATCCAAAGCAGGAGGTTCTGAAATTTCAACCGCAACAGCCTTTGAAACTGGTAATAATTTTTGGACTAATCAGTCTTGGATCAACCTTGCTGACCTTCAGATCTCTTTTCATCCTTAAGCTTTGACATATATCTCTATATTTTCAGTGAAAGAAACAACTAAAACAGCTGGTAACTTAGGAGTCATTCTCTTTGGATTGGGAATCACAGGATCAATTTTATATGCAGTTTGCCAGGAGCTCTTCTCTGGAAACAGCCCTAATAATATATATTCTGATGCATTGGATAAATGCATAAAAGATCAAAGGATAAGGGATCACCTGGGTGAGCCCATCAAGGCATATGGAGAAGAAAATGCTCGTGGGCGGAGGAGACATGTCAGGTAATTTTAATCAATTCCCTAAAATCTAACTTAGAAATAATCATAATTTGAAATTACTTAATTATTGTGGTTTACAATTACAGTCATAGTGTTTATGAAGTAAGTGGGCAAAAACACATGTTCCTTAAGTTTTACATTCAAGGATCTCGTAAAAAAGGAACTGTTTATGTGGAAATGAAAGCGGTAAGAAGTTTGTTCTTGTCCTTTAGCACTCAAAGTTTCATTCAAGTAAACTGCAGGTAGTTTTAATCTGATTTTTGTTTTCTTCAACCCCAGGATGACAAAGGTAACTTTCAGAGGAATATATTAGCTGTAGAATTAGATGATTTACTAAGAACCAAAATTGTTTTGGAGAACAACAGAGAGACTGAAGTGCCTTCAAGTGAGTCCCTGCCCACATTATTCTAGATATTATTGTGTACTATGTTTTTAAAATTTTGGAATGTGTGGAAGAACCTATGTTGGCTTAAACTCTCACTTGGAAAATGTGAGAAGTTGTAGTGCATACTAAGTGACAAATATTGTGAACTTGGTTCTTGTTGTGAAGGGAGAAAGATTATACAGACTGACTACTCTTTCAACTGTAGAGTGACTGTAAGGAGAAGAACAGCAAGGCTGTGTTGTAAATAGAAAAGCTATTGGATTTTAAAGAAATTTTGTTTCTGAAACCTTTAATAGTACCCATTGTTATAAAAACACGCAAGATCATCAAGTTAGCTGAGGTGTAACTGCACTCCAGGTCCTCCTAGTTCAACATCTCTCACATCAAATCCATTGTTGATCAGATTCTTTTTCACTGATGCAAGATCAGAATTGTCAGGAACTAGGATAATAGCAAAACCTCCTCCACCAGCTCCTGTCAATTTTCCACTGAGATTATGATCCCTTGCTATCTGTATGATACGTTCTAATGATGGATGGCTTACTCCCAGGGACTGTAGAAGACTGTGATTTATTGACCACACCTCCTGCAAAAAGGGAAAAAAGGAATCAACAAAATGAAGTAACTGTATTACTGTGCTGATTTATAGGTATAACTATTACCTCAAGCCTTGAAAACAAATCTGTAATACTGTCTTTAGATTCATTGACTTTGGCTTCATCCAGCTGTTTAATTAATGTTTTGGCCTCAGAGCTTAATCCATCCATTGCCTACAAGAGATGTATACTTAAGAGGTCAACTTCATATTAAGATGCAAAAATACTTTACCACATGATGAATATGAATACTGTCATACCTTCATGATTGTGTTCACAATTGTTTCATGTCGCTGTTTCAGTCGTGCAACACGCTCCACAAGTGTTTTGGTGTTGCGACTTACTTTTGTATCCACAAGTAAGACACGTACCCCCTTATGGAGAGGAATTTTTTCCATACTGTTAGGGCGCCGGAAAGCTATTAGAGATCCGAAGGTACATACACTGTTATCAAGACCTGCAACAAAATTTTAATGAGTGAGGACAATCAGTAAAAAGATGGCAAAATTCATTGCCTTTACAGAAGCTTACCTGAAGGGTTGCCATGAGTTATTCGCTCTCCTAAGAAAGCCCAGTGTGAAATTAACTCTTTCTTTTCATCATTAAGATAAAATTCTTTGGCAGACTCAGCCCTAAAACTAGCAATTAACACAAAACAAGCAGCAAGGGAGACACAAAATGAAGCAGAGGAACCTGCCCCACCGCCTACAGGTAACTCAGATGTTACATTCAATCGGAATGGTTGCAGAGTGGGTAGCATACTTTTTTGTGGATGGTTAAATATAGCCGTCATCAAAAATAGGCAGCATTTCAATGCTTGCTACAAAAAAAAGAAAAAAAAAAGAAAAATAGAATTGTGCAAAACTTGATTTTTTTTTAAAAAAAGTTTCTTTAGCAGAACATCCAAAGTTCCACACCACTTACTTGCTGTTGTACACCCAATGACTGAAAGCTTGGTTGGCCAGCCATGAAAGTTTCAAGACTGTCTAGAAGCTTGTCAAAATTAACATCTTGAGGACTGTTCACATCCCACGAGTCTCCATCAGTCAGAGACAATATACGGTTCATTTCACTAAAAGTGTTAAGGATTTGTTCATTTTTAAAACATTTGGTGAATTAAAACAATTAGAGTTTAAAAAGGGACATTTCAACAATCAATACCTCAAAGATAGACTTAGATTCAGTTCAACTTTGGGCATAATGAAGTGAACAAATTGTGGATTAGAACTGGCAGAATCCAGGGACGTGAACTCGATTTTAGTTTTCAAATCAAGACTGGCCGCCATGGCAAGATGACCATATACAACCTAAAAATATTGTTGCGTTAAAGTTAAAAAAAAAGAATGATTTTCATGAGTTATTATATTACCAATACTTACTGAATGATCCCCATGAAGGATAACTTTTCCGGGTGCAGTGATGCTGAATTTTGATGGAAGGCTATCCATGATGATCTGTAGGCACTGATTTCACCAAACTTATGCTATACTGTATTTTGTTTTGCCCACTGTTCGGGTGTCAAAGTCTTTTGAGAGAATGCATGAATAACTTTTAATTCCTCAGCTAATATTGAGTTAACTAGCCTGATTAACAAAGGAAAAATAAAACAGACATTAAAAAAAATTGAAGACTTTTGAAGAGAAGGTGCAACATCTGGTATGCAGTTGTCAAGACAGTGAAATGAGTGAAGAAGACAAGGACCAGGAGGGAAGAAGAGCACCAGTGACCTGTGGACCTGAGCTCACCTCAGGCCTCATTAGAATTGCGAGGAGGCTATTTCTGGGTTGGGTGTAGTGTGGGTATTTTACTGCATAGGAAGATGATACTAACCGGTGCCGTTGAAGGAGAGGTTTTCCTTCAAACTTATCAGAAACCACAATTACATTGAATTTACCACCGCAGCCATCGGATTCATCCACCACCTCCTGTATGGTAATTGATCAAACAGGAAAACATTGAGGCATTAGTTACAAAAAATATCACATGCTGCATGCACTTTGTTAATTGAGAATATTATTTGCACATTGTGTCATATTCCCAAAGAAAAAGTGGATAATGAAGAAACTAGTAATACTTGTTTATTTTGACCTTTATTGAGCTTGTCGGATTTTATCATTATTGAAATGGAATTTAGCTTGCAACAAGCTTGGGCTACACTTAAACAAATATTATTTTTTTTTTAAATACAGGAAGTCTATGAAAGTCCATTGAGATTTCTTATTTATGTGCCAAGAGAAAAGAGGAACATCATCTTAAATTTAAGAGAAAAATAACAATCTAATGTTTGAAAACAGCACAAAAATTTACTTTTGCTTTTTGCTTTCACTGGAGGATTGGAGACTGACACCATTCACAGACATTTGTTTGTAATTAAAATACAGCAAAAAAATTACAAAGTGTAGACATGAATAAACCGACATTAGTAAAGGAAACAAGTCCGGTAACTTGTTTGGAGGCTTGACAAAAACACTTAAAATTGTTAACACCACACAGCCTGTCATAGATGCAAAGAAAGCAGCCCACCACCAAACATTAGATAAATTTTGGTCACTAGCTTTCTGTGGTCTCTGAATAGGTGACTGTAGCACATTTACCATTAAGGTAGTGGCAACAATATGGAAAAGAGATAGTGCCAATGTTGGGATAAGTAACCCATCTTTCCATAATAAGGGGAGCATGCTAAATGAGGAGATGGCTGTAAACCACATACTCATGAAGGGATCTGAAGGCACAATGAGAGAGACTGGAATTGCAGCAAGTAATATACTCTTTTCATGAACTTGAAATGAAAAAAGGAAAAATGCTAAAGAAGAATTTATCAATCCGTAGACAAACTTGTTTCGATGGGGACGGAAAACTAAATCCAAGCAACTTGGAAGAACAGCTATAAGTGTTGAAAGCAGGCAAACTGCAGCCATTTCCTCGTTGGAAAACATGTTTTTAAGTTTAATGACAATATTTATGGCACACCATACATTTGACACCTTATCTTCAAAAACTCCCCTTGCTATTGGGAACAGTCTGCAGAAGACTTGCTGCAGTTGTGAGAGCTGAGAAACAAACGGTAGCCAAACAATACTAAAAGTTGCCAATACCACCATTCCTAGAGTTGCCACTTTTGGTAGACCCCTAACAATACCTCCCTCTAAACTGGTTCCAAGTAAGTAAAAGAAAAAGGGAAGAGCATAGTACAAACTCATTTGCTTAAAACTGAGCGCAAGAACAAATAGTACAGAACCTAACAGAGTTCTCTTTCTCAAGAGGGCAGCTGTGGCTGCTATAGTGAATCCTATAGAAACTCCATTATATTGAAAATGACCATGATCAATTAACAGTAGACCTGGGTGTGAAAGAACAAGGAATATCCAGACCAAGGATGTGTCATCAGCAGACCGAAGGTTCTTTGCAAAGTAAAGCCACACAGATGGTATAAGAACAAGAAGGTCGCTAAGAATCACAGTCCATCGCATAAACAGCTTGTGTTCGTAGCTCTCAAAACCACGAGATGTCTTTAAAGCCACAAAACTCTTGTCAATAAAGGAAGCAACAAAGCCGCAAAGTTTGCTGTGATAAGCAGTCAGTGGAGGGTAATCAAGACCCCAGTACATAAGATCATTGTCAGTTGTGTTAAAGTACCACTCCTCTACAGGCAGGTTGTGTGTCACTTCCATCCAGTGGCGCTGAGCCTCATAATCCCCATACATAGGAGGCTTCTTCTCTCCGGAGTAAGGGTGCAGGGCAACAGCCCACCGCAAGACCAGCAGCCCCAGCAGCGTCAGGGCAGCCGCTCCACGGAAGGAATCCACAGATGTAGGCGAAGACATTGCAGTTGTCTTGATTCAGCTTCCCTCTCAGGCGTAACCACAGGAATAGCTGTAGCGGTAAGTAGTGCGGCCCGGTTTGATCCTAACCTAGCCTACTTACAATGTGAATGGGTTGAAGTTCCTTGCTCAATTTGTCTTTGATATAATCAGCAGAGTAAGACATATTACAGTTGAGTAAGGGGAAAATATCAATTCAGAATCGTTTAAATGTTTAAACGTGCTGTGGTGACAAACAACAAGGAAACAGTGTTTGTTGACACTCTTCACCTTGTCTTGACGTCACGTCCAGTTCCACGACACTTTTCCGGGATCGAGAGCTCTAATCTAAATATCGACGTGGAGACTCTGCGTACATTGGGTGGCCTACCCAGCCGGCGCCAACAGGTCGTTCAGAGGTTCCTCCCTTCCTCCTACGGTAGTATGCCACTTGATTCTCCACGTCGATAATATTATGGACATAAGGATGGCTTCATGGATATCAAAATGAAACCACAAGCAGTTGAAAAATATATTTTGGTATGGTTATTTTATTCTGTTCACTTTATGCAGATCACAATGAGATTCTCATTGGAATTTGAAACACAAATTGATCAAAACCTTTGACTTTTACATGGGTGACTGTTTTGTATTTTTAATTTTAAAAATCTGATTTTTCTCCCCTTGCTAAGAGGGTGTAAACACAAATAGTAACAGGCTGTTAACTTTTCACAATCAGAATGACCCATTCAAGTTTTCAAAAGATAAGTAGCAAAGATAAGATCAGACAGAAATATACATACATTCTCAGTTATATGTACTTTTAAATTTTAAAAACAAACAGAAAAAACCAAGCAGTACTTAATATGGCACTATAATGAAATACACTCAAGAAAAAAAGGGTAAAAGCATACAACTTAAGTTTCCACAGTAAATTTCCACCCAGAACAGATGAAAATTAAGAAATAAACAAGTTAAAATGGTATCACCAGATAAATAAATACTACGTTAGATGTTCAGTAAGAGTACTTCATTCAGAGTTGGATTGTAAGATGGATATTCTGTCAAAGTCAAAAGGAAATGCACTATTCCTCTACAAAGCAGTATTTTTTAAAATTTATTTTTTTTCCAAAAATGTGATGCACTTTACTTGACTTGGTAACTACAGCTGACGAGGGGTTGCGGGTTGCATATCCAATCCAATATAACTTTAGCTATTTTCAGGTCTTCCATAAGAAAAATATAAATTCTAAGTCCCAAGGTGCCTCTAACCCCTTAGGTGTGGGTGTGATCATTAAAATAGTAAAAATTTCATTCACAATAACCCCTAGACAAAGACAACAAACACATTATATCGTCCACAGGTTTGAACCAATAACTCTCTATTTCAGTCTTTGTGCTTAATGTTAAAAAAATATACTGCTAAAATACTTTAGACATACCAATTCTACTACAAAGACTTTAGAACAACATTATTAATACTTGATCAATACATCAAGTCTTGGCAACCAAAGGAGCAAGATTTGAAGAAAATATGGTTGCAATAAACACACTTGATTTGTAAAATGAAACAAAATTAAAAATCTTATCACAGTGTTATTGCATCCATGAGAATTATGCATCGAGACAAAGGCAAAAAAAATCACAAAACAACCTGCAATCTTAAGTGAAAGACAAGAAAAAGAAAACGTTTTAGATGACGTCAATCCTTATGTAAGATCAATGCCAGAATAGTAACTGTAAATGTCCTCACAACAGTAAAGTGTAAAATAGTAAATTATTTTACCACCCTAAAGTTGTATATTAGTAAATATAAAGCAAGGGAACAAAATAGTCTCTTTACTTTCAAGTCCACATCCTGCTACAATTTTTTTTTTTTTTTAAATGAACTCTATGAACACACCTTGAATATAATATGGTATCACACAAACAAGGGCACATTAACAAAATGACGAAGGAGCATAAAAATCTGTAAGAATGGTTGATTGTCCACCTCCACATGAGCGTTGGCCACATTGGCAATTTCAATTACAATTTGATTTCAGAAATAAAGTAGAGGATTTTCATTTTTCTAAATTGAAGACACACATCCATTCAGTAATAAAAATACAAGTGGAGACAGTACCATGAACGACATGAGATATTTAAACTTAAACACAACTAATAGCAAAACTTTCAAAAGGAACTGGGAAAGAACTAGCGGCAAACACAGTAAGGTAAACACTACATTTAATAATGGATCACAGTCCAACACATTCTGAATGTGATTTATCACACGCGATCATCTTTTAACTACAAATGCATAAGCATAAATCTTTAAGGCTTTCAATTGAGCTGCAATGCAAAGAAGCACTGTGCTGCCTGTTATATTACAGCAAAAATATATATTTGGCAATTGTATAACATAACATAATGGGGCAAGGCTCGCCAGAAGGTTCCCAGCCCATCCTTCCTTTCATTTAAAACACATTACAGCGAAAAAGGTAAAGTTATCAGATAGTTTCTTCAAGACAGAAAATCATGAAGCAAATTGATAGATGACACACATTCCATTATCTGTCAGAATGGGACAGGAGCCAACTTACTATAGAGTATCATCAATTTGAGTGATTCAATGCACCCAATGCACATCTCCTCAGAAAGGCATTAGAGCAGAGGAGACCGCAGATCAAATGAGTCTCTTGAGAATTAAGACAGAAGTATAAAAAATGCAGCCCAAACAATCAGATGGAACTTAAAAATTTAATACTGAGGCCTTACTTATTGTCAATTATTTAAAAAATTTAAAATTAAGTAAAACTCAAAAGCCTTGGAAGAACCTATAAAAATATGCTAAAAGAAAATATTTTTTAAAACCCCTACCAATCTCATTTTAAGTAAATTGTAGTTCTTAAGTTTTGGAGTAGTTTATGTCTACTTCTATGTGCTCAACACACAAGCACAAATTAAGAAAATGCCATGCCTAAATATGTCATCAAATCTGACTTTATGTCCGCATAACGGAATGTATCCTTCACAATACTACTAAAACAAAATATTATATACCTTACACACATCACAAATAATTTACTATGTCTACTGACTGCTGGAGCAATTCTCATAACTTTAGGCACAAGCAGCACAGCACATGTTACAAAAACCTCAACAATATAAACATATCATACAGTAACAAATAGCCTTTTACTGCTTCTTATATATTGTTTTATATAGAGGAAACAGCAAGTAACTCTTTCGGTCAAGGCAAATCATACTGTTAATCTTATTCCATGGACGAAATGGCAGACTGGGCACAATTTTTGTCATGTCACCAGCTGAGCTTTGTTCTTTGACTACCCATTCTTGTATGACTGTGGGGTAGGTCCAAATTGAGATGGATGACAACTACTCTATGCAACACAAAATATAAAAGAACCATCATTCTTCATCAAGAACCCTGGGAGATTAAGGTAGAATTAAAAGTATTCTACCTGACTAGAGAGGGCTAGTTGGATGGAGTATTGTATGTTTGACGACCTCCTAACTCTAACAAGTATCGATCTGGATGATCAACCCAGTCAGCAGCACTAAGCTTCACAGTTCGCTGTTTTTCTGCTTGCTTGACTTCCCATTTCTTTGTTTCAAGCTGCTGCTCCCTAATAAATAAACGTAGATAGAAAATTAGAAAAAAAAAAGATTCATTGATAACTGTATTTCTCTTGAATGATTACTTACCTTGATTTAGATGTACCACACCCCCACACCTCTACACTGACCAGCGGATAAGGAATACCACTATAAGTAATCATACTGAAGGAATCATCAAGTTTGAGACTTGGTTTGCTGGGATTAGTACCAGCATGGATTCCTTTAGGATAACCCCGGATACTAAAATTTAAATATAGAAGTTTTGCACCCCCTTTAATTGAAAAGAAAGTTAAAGTTAAAATCTTAAACAATAACCATAAAGTTCATAAGAAAAACAAAAACACTTACGTTCAATAACATGGAAAAGAGGTAAAATCTGCAGAACGCAGGAATTTTCGCATCCCCAGTAGTGATTAGATTCATGCCACTCTGAATCGGCTGCAAGACAGAATTCAACTCCCTCCTGTCCTCTTAGGAATGTGAGAGTAGGTCCTCGGTAGCTGAGTACATGATGTAGAAATCTGAAGAGGAAATTTGACAATCAGACAAACCCTAGGCTGAGGTCAACTTAGAAACCATTGTGCAAAGCTTACCTATTTGAGCCTAATCCATGTTGATCACTACTGTACAAAGGTGCCCAATGAGATGGATATGTTGATCCCAACTGGAACAATATAGAAAATCAAAAGGTGAAGTAAACCTTTAAATAATCACTGTTAGCAAAAATATTTAAAACGCATACCATTTTGGCGATAAGTGATTGGGCAGATGAACCATTGTGTTGAGTAGGTGAAGATGATCCATTTGGGTGTTGAGATGGCATGGTAAAAATTGCAGGAAGACTTGTTGCTAGAAGCCAAACTTGGGATACTGGCAGCAGATATGGTCCTTTGGTATCAATGTCAAAATTTTTCTCGAGAACAGGTGTGGAAAGTTCCATGCCCTGTAACAATTTAATTACTTATAGGATTTCTACAGAAATTCATTTCTCATTTTCACTATTTTTATCAGTCTACTTCTAGTGTGCCACATTTAAAGATTATTATCTTTCATTCTTGATCAAGCACAAGGATAGTGATAGATAGTCCTACCTCCTCTGCTTCACATGAAGCATCCCCTTGCTGGCATGTGAAAGAAACCAATACAATAAGTCAATAAATATCTATTACAAACTCATGGTCTAGTATATAGTGTCCTATAGGTTCCATACAATTGTTTTGAAATACTGAAACGCACACAGGCGTGCGTGTGGTCCAGCCTACTTCCGTTTACCCATCAGAACATCGTTCAAATGACTCACTAGGGGCACCCTCATTGCACCAAGTAAGTCAACGGCCCGCCCACATGCCAGTACAGTAACAATACAAAAAAGTACCATGGGACCTATTGGACGCCTTGTATGGTTGACAAACCTACGTACTTTTTTGAAAGTCAAATCAATGTTTATTTTTTCACATCTGACAGTACGTTTTGAAAAACAATATGAGTATAAAAAATAATGTCACTTACAGGAGCTGAAGTTGTGACTGGCTGTTTTTCTTGAAGAGACCGGTACGCTGTTGTCAAAACGTGGACGACATACCGATGTAATAATGGCAGAAGCCTAGGAAGGTGTTGAAGAAGCCAGTTGCTCATGTAGCCGGGAGAGACTGCCAATTTCTTGTGAAACTAGAAAATAAAAAAGTAACAAATTGGATTGGGTTAGAGTTGATGAAATTGTAGAATGCAACACAGAATTAATCATATCCATGACATTTTACACACTGCAAGTTTTTTTTTAATTTTAAGGGATTAGGATTAAATTGATTTTTACAATACACGATCACCCCACTTTTAGGAATGGCTACTACAATGATTAAGTAAACATATTGCAAATAGATATGTCTTTTAAAGTTTTAGCAGCTCACTTAGCAAAGCTCACTTAGCAAAGCAGAGGTCTTCACTCACGTCACACCTGAAAAAAAAATATATACCAGAGCAGACAAATTCTAACAATAAGGTGGGTTAGGGAACCCAATGGTTGTTCCCTTTGTTAGTGAAGGATCCTTCACTCCTTACTTTGAGAGAAATCCATGTTGGAAAATAAATCAAGACTGAAATAGTTTGGCAATACTCCTCCTGAATCTCCATTATAAAGACAAAAAAAATGTGACCAACAAGAAGTCACAGGCCAGCCCACAACTTTAAATTTAAGATAATAACCAAGCAAATAATTAACAATACGAGATAAGTTAAATGATAAAGGGAAGGGCATATATACAAGGCATCCACGAGTAGACAACAAAAATTGCTTAAGCTATCTATGGAGTGGACTCCTTCTGTATATCCCTACTAAAATTAATAGACATAAGAGGGGGAAATGCAGCAAAGTGTTACAACAAACAATAAGTTTGCATCAACTGGTCTAAATTGTATGAATAGCTAGAAATTTGATAGACTTTTCCAGTCAATCAACTTTAGCAAAGATAAAGATGAGGAGCTAGTACCTGGGGCTGGTGTGGCTAGACGTGGCTAAGTAAAGACTTGATGCTTACGGCTGAATCCACCACTGCCTGAAGAGTGTGGTGGATATGTAGGCAGGTCTGTGGCCCCCCTGGGTAGTTATCCATGGCAAGGCGGTAAGTCAGCATCAGTAAGTCCAATACTTGTTGTTGAGCCACTTCTTCAGATCCTTCGGAAAAAATCTGCAATTTCAAAGTTGAATAAAAAAACAAATTTTCTCATTGGTAATACCTTTATAAAAGTCAAGTACTATTTTATTAAAATCTACCTTAATATAAAGCTCGGCAATTTTCTCATCTGGGATGATTTGTAGTAACTTGTCAGCTTGCTGTCGAAAACTTGAAGCAGACATACTTTTTGATGATTTACAGGCTCCTCCACATCTAGCCATATAGTTGAAAACTTTTAATCCAAGTTCAGGATATTGAGGGAAGAGATATTTCTACAAGTAAATTAACTGAGTTACAGTGGGCCAAAGAGGAAAATGTAAGTAATACAAAAAAAATAAAAAATGGAAGTATTTTACTCACAGCAAACACATTTGCTGAAATGACATTTTGACCAGTTCCTTCATCAGCATTTTTTTGTACAAGTATCTGGAAAAAAAATATAAATGCATTGGTGCAAGAGTAAAGTAGCCAAGGAAATCCAGTAATTTTTTGTACTGTCTATCCTTGAGTACTTTTCTTAACAAAATAATAAGTAAAATTAATTTGATTAATATTAAACATAGATAATTAGTAAGATAGTTAGTAGATAGTAGATAGTTAGTAAATATGCTGAGTTTGAACACCTAAATTTTGTGGGTGAAGGGAAATTTAGGAACCAACATGCCAAAAGGAACTTCAGTGTATATTCTAATAGTTTTTTAGTTGTGAGCTTGGGTAAAATTACAAGTCACATACTTGTGTCAAATTTAGATAGAATAAAATTGAATATATAGAAGAGGAACAAGGAAAATGTAGATGTCCCTCTGATTACCTTTAAGGAGCAAGGGGTATTGGTGGGAGGGAGGGGGGAGCAGTAACGGCGAGGGGGGGGGGAGAAGGTGCAGATGTTAAGGTGCCTATTTTCTCTCTCGCTCTCGGGCGCCATACGGAGTTAAGCTTGAGCCAAGCGGCCGCGTACTGGGCGGCTAACCTCAATCTCAGGCAGACGATCTACCAGTATGTGAGGGGACGCATCACGAACGCGTCACACTTAGCGTCACGGTGAAAGGTAGACTTTGTGTTACCTTGCGGCAACTTTGAGCGTAGAAGAGGAGGAGCCCGGGGCTGTGGCCTTGCCCTGTCCCTGTCTCTCCCTCAGCCTGTCTCTCTCACTCGCTGTCTCTCTCTCTCCTCACCTTGGCCAGTTTGTCGACGGGTACCAGCGCTGTGGCATGATTTTGCTCCTTTATGTCCGCCCCAGAGCTGGTCCTTGAAATGCTCTTGCTCCGTGAGCTTGAACTGCTGTGGTTGTCCGAATGACTGTGGTGGTTGCCCATGGCTGCAGGGGGCTTGCCTCAAGGCTCCTGCAACGCTACGCACTGCAACGCGCGAAAAATGTTGGAGCTGAGAGAGAAAGAGCACGGGCACAACCGACGAGGTTGACCGAAGTCGCCTCACCACAACTGCTCACCACCACTCACCACCCACTGACAGTAGTATGAGAACATCAGCTGTACATTCAACAGTCATCTGTCTTGACTCTAGTGTTTTTGTTGGCGAGCAATGGAGAGTTGATATCCAGTCTAGGTTATATCGTGTGATGATTTTCTATTTGCAATGAATGTTAGAGCTGGGCTTTTAGGGATTTCTATATATTTAAGCTCTATTGTTATTGCGGAAGAGTCTATGAACTACACCACAAATTGTGCCGATCTTCTGATGGGGCAATACATTTGCCCTGATCCATCATACGACTATATAGATCCCAAAACACAGCAACCTTACGGCTGTACGGAAAAAAACGTAGCTAAAGGTAAGTGCATACTAAAAAAAAACATTCCCCTTGAGTTACTAAACTGTGCCGTGTGTCTTCGAAGAAGTGTCTTTGACTTGAGTAAATCTTCTGTGTCATGTTATTTAATATTTAACCTCAATGCAGAACCCCAACATGGAAAAATGAAAATCCTATCTGTGTATCCACAGTACCAAAACTTACAATTTTACCTATCTTTTTGGTTATTTTCCAGTTCGTTGCCGTGCAAGTGATGAAATAATTTGTGCAGAGTCTGGCAATTCAACCTTCGAGAGAGAGATGCCATGCAAATGGACGTAAGTATTTTCCTCTAATTTCTCTCTAATCTCGTATCACATAAGTTTTGACATGCTCCTTTCTCTTTCAGCAATGGCTACTCCTTTGAAACTGCCATGCTGCTGTCTGTATTTTTAGGAATGTTTGGTGCAGATAGATTTTATTTAGGTTATCCTGCAATTGGACTGTTAAAACTTTGCACCTTAGGTTTTATGTTTATGGGCCAGCTCTTAGATATTATTTTGATTGCCACTCAACGGGTGGGACCAGCAGATGGAAGCCACTATGTCATACCATACTATGGGGCTGGCTTAGAAATTGTTCGTAGTAATAATTGGACTTACAAATTGCCTCAGGATGATTGGTGACATTGATTGATTGTATGCAGCCCAGCATAGACCTGCATACAATCTCCAATTGTATAATCTTGTGGGTAAAATCAACGACAAGGTTACATGTACTAAAAAGTGTTAAACTCACTCTTAATTCTATGCAAAATGTGTGTTATCTCCTGTTTTCTCCTGATCTTCTCTTTAGTTTGAGTTTTTAAAGGGTTCAAGCTTTTTGACAGTAAATTTACAGTTGGATATAATTTTTTGGGGTAAATTTTCTTTTTATTATTGTTGTTTGTTTTCTCTTCTGGACTAACATTTTTAATGCAGCAATTGAGCAGTTTCATGACAAATTTGACAGTCTAGCTAATTCTAAAGGCTTATGCAGTGCTCAAATGTTTGTGGAGAAACATGCATTGTACCTGGTATTTTTTAATATTTGTTTTTCTGTCATAAATTTTGTGTTTTTTATTATTGCATCATTAATTACTGTAAAGAAGTATTCTTGTTGGTGTTGTCTCTAAATATGGGAAATGGCATGTCAACTGCACAGGGTTCACAAATGGATACACAAATAGTATTCAAATTCTATGTTGTGACAAGATTAGGGTTTCTATAACTCCTCTCAAGCTTTAATGCTATGACAGACTGATATAGATTTAGTAGGAACTCTTTGATTGCTTGGAAAATAGAGTTTAGGTTTGACTTACATTGATTTGATGCCAGGATCCTCAAGGAAATGGCCAAGTAAAGTAGGATGTTCTGAATTTCACATGTTTTGGGAGGAAATACTAGCATGAGAGTTGGAGGATGTATTGTTTTTTTTTTAAATGGCTCATTATTGTAAAAGCAGTAGCCTCTGTTCCTGCTGTAATTAGGTACTTTTCACTTCATTCGCCAGGCTTCTTTGTATTGAGCACAACTCTGAAACTACTTCTGGATTTGTGCTGATCTCTTTTTGCTAGCTGCTTTGCAATCCAGATAAATGATTTCCAGATCTCATAGTTGCTTCAAATTTATTTATGAAATATGCTTTACTAGTATTTCATTTAACTATTGAATTACCTCTGCATATTTTCTCAGAAAGGCTTTTTAACTGTCAAAGGACTGCAAGGAAAATCATCTGATGTATCCCAAAATTCTCTAATACTTCTATCAAATTTATGGTTTATTTTGATGACATATAGAAATGTAAAACAATTTCATCCTATGTGAAACATTTCAGGGGAATGAAGACATTTAAAATTGCAAGGATTTGTACTTTGACTATCAGCCTTAGGAAGAATGATATGCTTTTTAATTTAATTTTCATTTTATCTCATGTGTGCCATTTTTGTTGTGATCCTTACATAATTTTTCAGGCATTTATGCACATTTAATTGTTAATTTATGAGTGGATGGCTGCAATTCTAACCATTCAAACTTTGTTATGTGATATAATAGCTTCTATTGTTACTTGTTATTGACTCGTGCTTTCCTGAAACGTACGCAGTTAGGCAACGTATGCCTGTTGTGTAATTTGCTGGGAGCCTGCGAGAAAGAAGTCACAAATCTGTACATATGTTGATGCCCGATAATTTCATAGTGACGTCTATGGACTTCCTGGTTTTCTCATGTACAAACTGTAAATAAACCATTTTTTTTACAATTGACATGCGTGTACCATTGCTTCTTCTTGCTGAGCGGGGGGTTGTGGGATGTGCGTTGGCGCCGCCCGCCCCTGCCTATCTCCGACCATCGCCCCGCGGCGCCCCGCGCCCCGCCCCCTTTCGGCTACGGGGGGCGTACGCCAGGCGTGTACGCTTGTGCGGAGATTACACGACTGTGTCCCAGAGCAGGAGCGACGACAGAACACAGGCCACACCGCTGGGGCGCGCTCTTAGGCATGGCCATCCGTCCGCACCACTTGCCCGGCATCCTGCTGGCCGTCTTCGTCCTGCCCACGCCGGAGATGTTACGCGGTACGTCGCACCAACCCCCCTGCTGCCCTGCTTGTCCCACTCTTGTTCGCGGAGCTACGCAGAGCTCATGGACTCGTCTTCCTCCCCAGTTCTCCCGGGCGCCCGGGCCGCGCAGGAGTGCGTGCGATCGGCGGAAAGGATGCAGGACGCGCACGGCGCCGACGTCCAGCGGCTGCGCAACGACCTCCTGTGTGACTATGACCGGCTCGTCGTGAAGCCCGGCACGGACGTGCAGATCAACGCCTACATCTACCGGCTGCACCTGGCAAGTGCACGCCCTGCCCACCCGAATCTAACAGTGTGACTCCACCCCTTCCCTTCCCCCGATCGGATTGGAGGGAGTCCCCCCCCCCC